AAATTAAGAGGTGCCCATTTGGTGTTTATTACAAGAACTCTTCCTTCCTCATGTGAAGGAAACAATATCTTATTTCTCTCATTAGAGTAAAATATAACCCTTTAAATATGTTGGCATATCATTGCATAAATTATGAGGACTTCTCTGTTGATATGGAATGCAGATTTTTCAGAACTGGAGCACAGAGATGCTGGGCTGTGAATATAAAAAGCAGATGTCTTTCTCCCTCTCACTCAGGAGGTTAGAGCTTATCAGGGTATTTTAACCCTTGATGTTCTGTGACAGGCAACCTCTGTTGGATAGAGGGAATTGGCATTTTCAGGTGCAAGGCTGAGCATCCAGTTAATCCTGGTTTGCCCTTGGGATTTGTCACAGGGTGAAACAGAGTGTGACAAATGTGGAAGGGAAGTTTTGCCACCGTTGAATTTTTTTAATGTAAATAAAGGGTGAAAATCAGCCTGTAAATACCTGTGTGGCTGGGTCATTGTCCCTTTCTGAAGCCCCCATGGCAGACAAAGCTTACCTGGTTTGCTTATCAGAGTAAAGTGTATTTCTCACTCTGCACCCATGGGGCTTTTGTATTTCACCCATGGCATCTAAACAAATAGCAGGAATCTCACCATGTAAGGGCTGAGACATTCAGGCTGCACAGGGAGGCTGAACACTGAAAGAAAGAAAACAAAACATCTTACCCATACCCTCTGTGCAGAGCAGCAGGTGACACAAAGCCAGCTGTGCCACGTTTGGGGGTTTCTTGGACAGTGGGAATCCTGACATGTTCCTGTAAGTACCATTTCCAGACAGCTGGAGGCATTGGAATTGCACCTGCAGCCTGAGGATGTGGTGGCTGAAAAGGGTGATGACTTCACCATGAGAAAATGAGCTTAGGGCTGTGTGTGGAAAAAGAGCTGCATTAAAAAAAAAGAAAAAAAAATCTGCAGAAAACAGATATTTGTCATGAAACACTGATTTAAACAAACTGTGAGAGCCAGGCAGATGACTCTAACATGTGAGGCTGGCCTGTACTTCATGGTATTGCCACAGCGGTTTATAGTGTTTGGAGGGAGAGTTATGACGCAGAACAAATGAGATAAAAAGCTTGTTTAAGTGTGATTAAATGGCTCTAAAAGCTGCCCATTTTAGAGGAAGGAGCTGCAGGCATGATGCCAAGCTGTAGCATGCTGTATGCTTCACCAGCTCGTCACATCCATATGGGCTGACTCAGAGGAATCTGTTTTAAAGTAATCCAAACTATTAATTTATGGAGGTTCTCATCACCGGGCCCGAGAGCGTGAAGGGAAGATACACCCAGCGAGGTCATAAAGTGGTACCAGCATCTTCTGCTCTTAAAAGCAGCAGTTTAGATGTTTGGGATTGTCTTCCTCTGACATCACCCCAGCAACCATAGCACTGGTGGGGTGGTCATGGTCTTGTCATTTCCATATGGAGTTGTATTTGTTGGCAGCCAGCTCCAACAAGAAAGGATCAGTGGGGCTGGATGCTCCTGAGAGGGAAGCCAGGTTGCAGATGGATCAGATATCCCTGCAAAGAAAATGCTCCTTCAGCCAACAAGTTCCTTCTTTGATGGTTTATCCCAGAGAATTGAGCTGGTCAGAAATGTTCCCATGAATCATCATTCCTAAAGCCTGCCTTATTTTGCTGGAACTCTGCTGAGCACAGTTGCCCCATGACTGAGGAAGAGAGCTTAAGGAAACCCACCTGTATTCCTGTCAGATCTCTTCCAGGACAGGAGAAAGAGTGTGCACAAGTCCCTGGCTCCGGAGCGGATGCACCTGGTGGATTTGCCCCAAGGCCAGGGATGCTGGGAGCTCTGCAGCTGCCCGCTGAGGCTGACAAGCTCTGACATGAGTTTCACTGGGAGGCTGCAGCAGGGTCTGGGGAGCTTCTGGCTTCCTGGAAACTGCTCTCCTTTCAAAAAAAAACCTGAAAAAGGTTTCTGTTCAATTTGGATAAAACCCAAATTTTATATATATGTTTAAATCCGTACATTTTCAAGGCACTGGAAACACGGTTTTTCGGCCAGTTCTACTTGATAGTTTTATAGGGCTTTGCCATAATAAAAGCGAAGTGAGACGAAACAGAAAAGCCCTGCTTAGTAACAACGTGGGGTGGGGGAGTGGGAAGGGAGGCCTTAACCAGAGCCAGGCTCCCTGAGCGACTGCTCTGCCAGCAGAGGACAAAACACGAGCACCAGAAGAGGGATTGAAATCACATGGGTGCAAAGCTCTGCATCTCAGGGCCCCCTCCACCCCAAGCAAACCAAGGTGCTCCCTGGAGTGCTCTGTCCTGAGTGGTCACTCCAGGAGAGTTCTGGGTTATTTCTCAGGCATATCCCAGCAGATGCTTTCAGCCTCTTACGGCTGTCTCCCCACATATGGAGCTTGGTTTTGTCACCAGACCCTGCCAAGGATACAGTTCTCCTTTTGACAACAAAGAACTGTTTTTATTTACTAGGGAAGCTGGCCTGGCCTTGGCTCTGCGTTTTGTAAATTATTCATCTCGTGTCAGTAGCAGTGGAGCTCCTCTCACGTGTTTCTTTCCAGAAAACGATCAAGTCCAGGTTTGGGGGAAGGAGGAGGTCTAGGGGAGGAGAAGTGAGGCAGATTAGGCTTAATAGCTCGGTGTCTTCATTAACATTAAGCAGCCAGGTGACCATCTCTCCCCTGGATAATGTCCCATCCTCCCCTGGTGCTGGCAGTAGCTGTGGCCTGTCCTGTTTCTGCATGGGGGAATGAGCAATAGATCAGCAATTAGAGCCAGCATCTGTCCTGACAGGGTTTTTCTTTCTTGCTTCCTAACTCACCTCCCTTCTCAGTGGAGGTACTTGTCTGAATCAGACAGTTATAAAAAAAGGAAAAAGGAAAAAAAAAAAAGGTTGCAGGAGATCTCTCAGTTAGATCAGGACTATCATCAAAACTAGATCAGGTGAGCCATGTCTTGGAAACAACCATGGAAGCAGATGCAAGATCACCTCTAAGATAACACCTCCCAGAGCTGAATTGCCCAGCTAGATAAAAAAGTTTCTGCACTGTACACTTCTCATATTGCAATTTGTGTTGCACCTTTTATTAACGAGAGAGTTTTTCTGCATGACCACTGTAACCTCCCTTAACCCAGCTGTTGGACACGTAGGCTTCCCCACTGCCTCCTCTCCACCAGGAGCCCTGCTCCTGTGCCCTGGCTCCTTCCCCCAGCTGGCAATGAGCTGCTGCATCATCGATTGCCACGCTCTGGGTCCAGCTGTCCAGCCCATTTTCCACCCACACAATGATCCATTTGTCCAGTCCATGCTTCCTCAGATTACAAACCCACAACCACAAGAAATGGGGTCAGAAGCCTTCCTAAAAGCAAAGTATAGCACAGCACTGCTCTCACCTTGTCTCCACAGCCAGTCATCTCATCACACAAGGCAATCAAACTGATCTTCTCTAAGTAGATCTGTGCTAGCTATTCCCTGTTTATCTTCCAGAACTTCCCCTGTATGAAAATGGACTCCAGCACATGTATTCTGTGATCCTTCCAGGGATGGAGGGAGCTCAGCTGCCTGAGACCCTTCTCCCATCTTTCTGATAAGATGGGTCAGCTTTTTTCCTGTCATTAAGGACTTGCATTGATCACTGTGATCTTTTGCAGGTATTGAACTCTGGTTTTGCAGTCACATCATCCGGCTCCTTCAGCACCCTGAGGTGAATCCCATCCATCTCCATGGATGGAAATCCTGTGTTGTCTCTAACTTGTTGCTCCTCCACTGTTGGCCATCCCTTTCTTTCCCAAGCAATTCTGGTTTGTGCTGAGCTCTAGGAGGAAGATTTACTAGTGAAGACAGAGGGGAAAAAAGGGATATTTAGTACTTTGGATTTTTTCAAACAGAAAGTGGTGGCTCTCAGGAGGCTGTCTGCCACACAAATGACAAATTTTCCATTTGAACTGGTTAATGGGACTGCAGGATGAGATGTTGTAATCATCCAGAGCTCAGTGTGAGACAGTGTGGAGCTCAATATCTGAGCTCCAGCAGATCAGTCTCATATAGTGGGAACCCAAGGGAGGGTGAATTCTCTATGCAACTTTGATATGCTTGTATCTGTTCTTATTTTCATGGATATTTTGGGCAGTAAGCCCCTTATCTCCAGCTGTGTGAACAGCTTTCTAAACATCTGTCAGTAGCACCCGTGCCCATCTTGCTAATTTGGAGTGCCAACCCTACCGAATCTGTATCTCACTACTGGAAACCTGATGCAATTTAAATTGTGGCGTGCCTTGCTTTGTTCTGTAAACTTCATTTGCAAGGCAACCTTTAGCCATAGGAAGAAACCCATTTCCAGAAGGAAGACATTAGTGATGGGTGCAGTTGTGAGGGGTGGGAGTCAGGGTTGTGACTGAGTTGGGCCCTGGAGGTCAGATGGTTATCGGAACCAGCTGAGCTTGAAAAACCCAGAGAACAAATAGGTCTCTGGCATTTAGGCACTATATTAAATAGGATTTGTGGTACTTTCTGCTTCAAGCTGTGCCAAGAATAGCATGAGTAGCCTTTCTTGTTGAAAACTGGCACATCTGGTCCCAGTCCTGGTTGGAATCAATGGGGCACAAAAAAAGTATGTTGAGTTACTATTATTTGTTTTGAAACCTTTACTGGAGGATTCAACCTAGGCTGGACATTCCCAGTGTTATGTGATCGCTCTTGTCTTTCTCAAGCTCTGCACTCAGCAGCAGAGTAGCTCAAGTGTCAGAAAGCCCTGATCAGCAGGGGAAAAATGGGATCTGCTCCTGCTCTGCTCCTGTGCTCTGTTCTCCCAGAGTTCCTGGAACACCAATCTTTCTAAAGTAACACAATGTCCTTGCACAGAGCAAGAGTTAATTTAGCCAACCTCCAGATGGAAAAAGGGCAGAAAAATGAATTTATTTGGTGGGGCAGCCTGATGACAGCAATGGAGGGGGGAGCTTGGGTCTGTACTGGCCCTTTTTGGGTCCTTATTTCCAGGCCAGCTGCCCCCTTGCTGGCTCATAACCACCCACCACACTGGGAGGGAAGGCAGAAACAAGAGAAGTGGGTGGATTTAATCCTCTATTTCAAAGATGTTGCTGCTGGATTTGCAGATGGTGGCAGCAGATGACAGAAACGAGCTCATTTTTCCTCTGATTATTTCTTTCATCCCTAAAAAAACAAAACAAAAGCTTGTAACAAAGAACTGCTACTAGAAATGTGGAGTTTTTCTCCTCTCTGTTTTTTTCTATGAGAAGTAGGTAACCAGGGAAAAAGAGAATAAATTGTTGCAATAATCTTAGGAGTATATTTTCCAGATATCTCAGTGATGGCCCATTTCACATAACTTCTATAGTTCCTCCTGCTGATGCAAGGCATGACATGGAGGGATAGCTTTTCCCATCCTTGTCTGCAGATTTCTCCTCATGGTTGCTGTTTCTGAGCTTGGATTTGCCAGTGGCTCCTGTTTCTTTCTTCCATGGGGACGGAGAAAGTGAAATGGATTCCCCAGGCAAGAGCAGGCTGGTTAATCCAGACAACATCCAGACAGGAAGGCAAAATGTGGCAGCATGGACAGTTGTGCTGTGTTGGACCCAGCTGTGGTTTCCAGCCCTGAGCTGACCCAAGACTCCTGGTGCCAAGTGAACCTGTGCACTGTCTTGGAAAACTTCCTGATGTTTCAGTCCAGTCCTGCTCAGCAGTACATACCTGGAGTTCAGAGAAGGAGCTTCAGGACCTGTTCCATGAATTTCAGCATGACACTGATTTTCCTAAGTTCTGATTAAACAGTGAAAAGGCAAAGGAAAATCTAGCCATCAGGTATTTTCTTGTTGCTCTTTGAGCTCAGTTTGCTTTTAGACTGTGCACTCCTGAATTAGACAGCTGTACTGCCAGTAAGAAAGAACCACCTTCTCTCTTTTTTTTTCTTTTCTTTTTTTTTTTTTAGGAAGGCTACAACAGGTGTGATTCCCAGGAGTAGCTCTCCTTGCATGATTCATATGCTTCAACAACACCTCATCCTCCTGCATTCTCAGTTTTCCACTGTGTGTTCCTGGTGGGATGATTTGTGCTGATCTTAGCTCAACAGGCTTTACAGGTCCCCTGGTTACAGCCTAATAAGTGGGGTGTAATTATTAAAGGAAAAAACAAAACCATACCAAACCCATCAGGACATTTCTTAAAATAATATGAATTGCCCATTCAGCTGTTCACACACTGCAAAGTAGAACCCAGACCCCTTCTGGAGCTGAAATCCTTCTTGAAGCCTGGATCCCATTGAGGATTTAGGACTGGATTCTCATTTATACTGAGGTCTCTTGAGCCAGCAAGTACAGGATGTAAATTATTTTTACTCTCACTTTCACATGAGAATTAGGCCTTTAGAGTCAACTTGAGTTACCTTGTGCTGGCTGCAGCAGTCATACATGACCACCTGTTGTTTCTTGGTTGAGCTCAGCAGTATTTAGGGGTTTTTTGGCAGGAATTCTTCTTTTTTCTGTGTGTTTTCATAGCCCTGGCCACTAGGTGCTACTGCAACACAGATGCAGTGATGGTTAAATGGAGCCAGCCAAAATCGTGGCCCTGGGAGCTCAGCATGGAGCTCAGGATGTTTCTGTACCACTGGCAATGCCCATTCTGAGCTGCTGAGCTCCTGGTGAGCCTTGGGAGCGACAGAGGAGTATTGGGTGCTGTGGTGAGGCTCAAACAACCTCTCCCAGGAGCTGAACCCCAGAGAAAAGGGTTTGGAGGAGGAGCTCCACTTCCTGCAGCTCAGGATGAAATATGGAGAGTGCTGGCTGCACATGGGAATGATGCTTTTGGCCACCAACTGGTTGGTGGAGGACCTAAATCTAAATCTAATTTATGAAGTATTGATAGACTGAAAGAAGCATTGATTGAAGGGGACATTAAAGATCATCTTTTTCTGGGCAGGGACACCTTCCAATAGATCTGGTTGCTCCAAGTCCTTGAACACTTCCAGGGATGGGGAACCCACAGCTTCTCTGGTGAGGCACTGAAACTGTGACTTCACATCTCTCACTCCTCTCAGATGAGGATCTATCATTCATAGATCATAGAATCATAGAATTTAGAACTAAAATGAAAGCTTGGACCTTCTAGGTGACATCCTCAGTGTAGTAAAAACCAGATTTCAGTGGTGAGCCTGGTATAGAGACCAGCTGAAGGTGTGGGCAAAAGAATCACTTCCAAAAAAGCTTTTTCTCAACCATTTCTCAGGAGAGGAACACCATCTACACTCCATGGTTATTTGTGCTCTGTGTCCAACTCTGTGTCTTCCCACTTGTTTGGATTCACCTTGGAATATGGAAGAGGTTCTCCACAAATACATACAACCAGGAATCAAATAGGGAACAAAAGTTTATGTGTTAGATCTGGGCACAAAAATATATGTGATGGATCTGATCTGTATTCTTCTACTGCACTTTCTTTCTGGTTTATATTTTAGGTTTGTTTTATTGTTTTTTTCCCTGGAAGAAAAGTAATCCTTAATAAAATGGAATTTGTAATTAAAAGCAACAAAACAAAACTTGTTCTCTTAAAACTCAAAAGTGAAAAATCTGGTTTTAGGAAAACTGTGTTTCTTTGGCCAGCTTCATTTGATATCTTCAATCCTCAGCATGATGCTGTCTTTCATAAGACTTAATTTGTGTAATAAAAACCACCAATAAAGGCAGAAAATGTTCCCTTTGCCCTGTTGCTAACTTTGATTCATCTGGGCTGACTTCAGCACCTCCAAGGAGGCAGCAGAGGGACAGTTTGTACAACTCAGCCTTAGAACAAACACATTAAATGGAGACAGAGGCTCCTCATTCTCCCAGGGGATTTGTCCCCCTGAGCAGTTTTTTTGCTGCAGCACTGCCCAAGGACCCACAGGTCTCACGGGTCCCTGTCCCAGCGCTTCCCCGCTCCACACCATCGCAGTCAGGCTCTGGACACTGAGATCTTTGTGTGGTTTTTTTTTCAGGGTGAATGGGCCATCTGCCAAGAAGGTCGGGCAGAGCTCTGTGCATTTGGTAGCTCTGAATAATTCTGCTGCTGTCTTCTGTAAAAGAAGTGAGAATGCAGAGACTTTTGTTTGGTGTCCTCTAACGCTCTGATAGTTTTACTCTGGGCTTCTAGGAAAACAAAAAACAATCTTTATCTATTGAGCTTGTAAATTTTGATTACTCTTGACATGGTCTACTGTTCTGTGTTGTTTTAATTACTCCCCTGCCTTGCATCCAGTTGGAGCTGGAATTCAGAGCTGATTTAGTTTTTCAAGCATGTAATGCAACTTAAAGAAAAGCATTTCACTAGAGAGCTTAAACATTGTTTGGTCCTTGTTTTACTACTAAGCTTTGCCTTTCTATAGTTGAATGCAGGATACAGGCTAGAGCAGACATTTGTGAACACTATCTTAGTACTTGTTATTATTTTTCAGCTGCTGCCTAGGAAGCTTGGCCATTCCATGTTGAGCTCTTGCGGAGTGGGAGCATCCTTGCTCCATCTGATGCCCTCCTCCCACACGGTGTATTCCACAAAAAATGGCATGAGCAGTCAGGGACCACTGCAGGTCTGAGCAAGGTGTTCTATTCTGTGCTGCCAGTGGGGTTTGAGAGGCAAATCCAGAAATCAGCTCACAGCTCTTCCAAAAAAGCTGAATGCAGGTAGTACTGGGCCATGAGGGGGATAGGCATGGCTGGCACTTAGCTGCCCTTCTGGTAAGGCTGCTACTACTTGATTTGATCAGTTTTAAGGCAAAAGAAGCCTTTTGCCCCCCCCCCTTATGCTGTCTTTCAAGGACTTGCAGATTTTCCAGTTCACTGGATGACCTTTGGTGCTGGTAATCGCTCCAGGACAGAAATCACTATCTTTTCAGGCATAAATCCAAAGTTCCTTCTCAGCAGCACATGTTCAAATGAGAGTTTGCTAAGGAACAAACTCTCCATCCAAGCAATAAATTCCTGAGGTGCTGCTGTGTTTGCTTCAGTCAAATGATGAACCTCAAACTTCATCCTAACCTGGTCTTTAAAACAGCTCTCCAAAACTGGCATTTTCATACTGGTTGGAAAGAGCTATTAAGAGAGCTCAAAGAAACAAGTCCTTGGAAGTTCTTTTAATGGAGGTTGAGGGAGGAGAGAAGTTTGGCAATGCAAGATAAGCAGTGATATTACAAAATTGTAAAGCTGTCTCCTACTGAAACCATGCTAAATGATTTGGAACACACTTAGAAAAAAAATGTGCACCATCAGCAGTAACGATCTTGAGAGTTTGGCCAACACCAAAAATTTTAGATTTGGATCGGGACTAATTTGCCTTCCAATTTTTTATGTCTTCCCTGTACTCAAATTGTGCTCTTTTGAAGGCACTAAAATAAACCATTTAGTTCCCAGTAAAACCCTGCCTGGACACTTCCCCACACACAGCTGAGTGCCCTGTTTGTTGTCCAGTGTCACCTTTCAGCCACACAGAGCGATTCTATTGCAAATAATAATGTCAGGATAGAATTTGTCAGAGTGCCACATTGCTGTTGTTGCTTGAATACTACTTTGGGAGGAAACAGTTTAGAAGAACCATTCAACTGGGGCTCTTTCAGGCTTGGACACTTGAAAAAACATCAAGACTTAAAATACTTTGTCAGACTGTTTGGTATATTACAGTAGACTGGCTGGTGAGTGTGTTTGTCACCATCTTCTCCAAGACAGGATGTGACATGAATCTTGTAGTGCCAAACCTTACAAGATATTTTTCTTCAACTCAAGTGATGGATCGTGCTTTTAGGGTCTGACTGCAGGGCTTAGTGTAGTGACAACATGCCATTTTTCTTGCTCATAAAGTGGTTACAATAGATCTGAAGTGTTGTGAACCGCAAATAGTTAGGAACAAATTTTATCTGCTACTCAAAGTTCCATGTAGATTGCTACATCTTTCCTTTAAACAATTGTTATTGTGCCTTTTGTGCAAACATTTGCTTATGAGCTGAGCCTGGAGGTTACAAGTCCAGAGTTTTCCCTGGACAAGAAAATGGTCTTTATTGATGGTTGACATTGGGTCCTCCAAACCTTTGGGAATGTAGATCTCCAGCAGCTCTTTCTTTACATGATCACATTATTTCCATCTCCTTGTCTTTACTCTGTGTCAGAGCACCTTATTTTGCTTCCGTGGTGTCATGTACCCCTCGAGGCTCTTGCTGTTGGTCAAACCAGCCCCTGCCACCCACTTTGTCCCCAGTCCAAAGGGACTTGTGTCACGAAGGTGGCACAGCCATCAAGAGATGCCAAACCTGAGCAAACACACCCACCACAATTACATTTATTGCCACGACAGGCAGGCACTGAACACAGACCTCTTTAAATGAAATTTACTGAGAGAACAGTTTAAAAATATATTTACCTAGAGACAAAAAAACATCTTACTGGAACAGTGACCTTATCTCTATAGAACTTACCAGCCCAGGAGCAGAGCTTCCCACATGCAGCTGCCCTGCTTCCAGGAGTACCCAGGAGCACCCCTGAGCTGTGTAGTTTGCAATCTTCTACCAAAGGTAATGAACCCTTCTGGAACCACCAGAACTGCGAGTTGCAGGGGGGTGATTGCCTCTGTGGGATGCCAGTGGAATGGTCCAGAATAGGTAGAACTTGCATTTTTAATTTGTTTGGATGATCCTTAATCCTTGCTGCCTCTGATAAAGGAAGGCTGAAGGTATCCTGAAAGTGCATGGGGGACTGTGCTGCAAACCAGCCTCTGCAACAGTTGGTGCTTGTATTTGGCCTTTGATGTTTATCAGTAACAGTGAAAACATCAACACATGTGCTCTCTTTTTGTATCCACTGCTTTGAGGTAGGGCTGCCTCAACTTTGGTCACAAGGTTCTTTTTTTGTTCCCCTTCATTCTTTCTTTTCTTCTTTGCTTTGACACCTCAATTTTTTGCTGATTTGTTATATTCCTGGCACTGGATAGCTCTCTAGGCCAATGCCTTTTAAGAGCCTCTGGAGCAGGACAAGGGAAAAGAGCCAAAGCTGGAGAAGGGCTTGGAAGACACTCAGCAAAGCACACAGGTGCAGCCATGGGTGAGAGCTGGTCCAAAGGAGTAGGAATCAGCTTTCATCCTGAATGCCAATGGTACATCTGCACTCACTGCTGAGTAATTCCAGTTTCAGGCTGGGAAGGCTGGGGTCAGTTGTCCTGCAGGAGCTGTGCTGGGCAGTGACTGCAGTCTGCTCCCCTCCACCACCCAACTGTGCCCAAACTAGGGTTGGCCTCAGTGACCTCAGAGATCTTTTCTAACCTAAGTGATCCTACAGTTCTGAAGGTTGATGGGATAGTCAACAAGCTGTGCAGGTTGATTAGGAAGTTGCTTAAGGTTCAACCGCTTTCCCTTCCTCAGATCCCTGAAATATGGAAATATACGTTAAAAACCTCATTCACCATGACTTAGTTTTCTTAGGTGGTCTGTTCTTCCCCTGAGAGCCTCTGGGATTGTCCACCACAAAACTGCCTGGCCTTCTTGTGATGACAGCACTCAAACATGGTCATTCCTTGCTTCATTGCCCAGTGTAGAAACATCTCTTAACAGAAAGGGTGAAGAATGTTCAATGTTTAGCATGATTAGGTACACACTGGCAGTGTTAACATTCATACAGCCTCCTGATCCAGTGAGGACAGCTCTGAAGTGACCTCATGGAAAACTCTGAGGGGTTTCTGTATGATTTCACATCATACAGATCTTATCCCCGTCGTAGATGCCTTAAATCCATGCAGCTCGTGCCTTTTACGAGTCCTGAACAGATGAGTGAACCTGGTGCTTATACAAAAGAAGGGCTTATTTGTCTTACCCCCACATTTCAGAGATTTGCATCATGCTTCACATAATTTTGATGATTTCTCGTTCCCCATCCCAAGCTGCTGCTATCCAAGCATTCTGTGTAGCTCAACATTGCTCATCTGGGAGAAGGAAAGAAACCTGAGCAAGGCTTTTATAGGCCAGGACAGAGTGATGAAAAACTGTAAT